ATATTGCTGCATCGCATTTGCTTGGCTCAACTATCCAAAGTCCGCTCGAAAATCAGGTGACGCAATGTGTACAAAACTTGGATGCCTCCGCTTGTGTCGTCCCTCCGGCTGAAAATATTACAGTGGAGCAGATTTGCTCAGCGCTGAAAAACACCAAGAACATGAAGGCTCCCGGGTTTGACGGTATATTCAACTTGGTATTGAAGAAGCTGAGCACGAAAGTGTACTCGCTTTTGACTGCTATCTTCAACAGATGCTTGGAACTGCACTACTTTCCAAGTATCTGGAAGATAGCAAAAATCATACCAATCCGCAAACCCGGTAAAGATCCATCACTACCTTCCAGCTATAGACCAATCAGCCTCCTTTCAGCGCTGAGCAAATTGTTCGAGAAACTAATTCTCAATCGTTTGCTCAAGTTTGTCGAGGAGAACAACATTCTCCTACCTGAACAGTTTGGGTTTAGGAAAGGGCATTCCACAAATCACCAGCTAGTTCGGGTGATGAATAACATTCGAAGTAACAAAGCTGTATCCAAGTCCACAGCCATGGCATTGCTAGACGTTGAAAAGGCGTTTGACAATGTTTGGCATGACGGACTTGTGTACAAGCTTTGTAACTTCAACTTTCCACCACATCTTGTAAAAATCACCCGTAACTACCTCCAGCAAAGGTCGTTTAAGGTATCGTTGAATGGTTGCAATTCAAACACCTTTTCCATCCCAGCAGGTGTTCCGCAAGGTAGCCTGTTGGGCCCTTTGCTATACAGCATCTACACTTCCGACATTCCTCCCTTGGGGAACGGTTGCGTGTTCTTCCTGTTCGCAGATGATACCGCTATAACCGTCAAGGGAAGGAGGCCTCGTGAAATAACAAACAAACTTCAACGATGCCTTGACGCCTTTGCTGATTATGCCAACACGTGGAAAATCAAAATCAATGCCTCCAAAACCCAATCAATAATGTTCCTCCATCGACAATCTCCCAAACTAAAACCGGCTCCCTCTTGTACTGTAATAATGGATGGCACAAGGGTTGAGTGGTCCACGGAAGTAACATATCTTGGTATGTTATTTGACGAGAAGCTCCTTTTCCGCTCGCACATAGATATAGGCAGTAGTCAAGTGTTCCAATTTAGTTAGGTGCTTGTATCCGCTAATTTGCCGCAGATCTCGTCTCTCTAGGGTGAACAAACTGGCTGTCTACAAACAAATCATTGCGCCTGCGATCTTCTACGCAGCTCCGGTGTGGGAATCATGTGCACAAACTCACAGGAACAAAATACAGGTAGCGCAGAACAGGGTATTGAGGATGATCCTAGATCGTCCTTTCGATACCCGCATTTCCGACCTGCATCAAGAGGCTAACATCCCGAAAGTAGATTTTCAAATTAACGAAACTAGGAACAAATTTGTACAGAAATGCAATACATCAGAACATGCTTTGATAAGCAATTTGTATATAGTAGGTTAGGTGTATATAGTAGTTGTAGATTAGTTGTAGCTGTAAATAGTAGTTTTAAGTAGTCTCCTTTTTCCAATTCAAAACAAACCAATCCCACTAAGGTGGTCATACTTTAACAGGCCTGATAGGACTAGGAACAGTAAATAATAATTAAAAATTTCAAAATAACTAAAGTTGAAAAGACGCATCTGTGTCACTTGAAAATGCATACATGTAAACCAAACAAATACAAGAAATATAGATCATTCAAAGTCAAGTTCAAAGTCAAAAAAAAATTGTCTATTTCGTGGTGGAGTAAGTTTCCTCTACCAACACATCCTTTTTGTATCCATGATGAATGGCTGTTCATGGCTATTCAATATGGAAATGTAAACAGTCAAATTAATAATCTAATCTTTAGCATTTGCAAGTCATCCAGTCCTTAAATTGTTGTCCTCTGAGCTCTGTATGTTTACAGTCAATTTTTAAATAAATATCATCCTTCATATCAGTCATATGGATGCTCATCAGTTGATGACGAATTCAACCATAAGGAAATCATCCGAAATTCGACAGCATATTGTTAAAGGGCTCGAGCAATACAATAATCAGTCGAAGTATTGCGGATGTTTTCGTTCAGTGTAGAGCTAATAAAGTATAGAGGAAGAATAGCGCTGCCGTCGCTGTCGAAACATCTTTTCCTTACATCTAATAGGGACACAACTGTCAAAGCGAGCAGTTATGCAGTTTGACAGTTCTGTACCCGGTATTATCAACAATCAATTCGAAACTAACGATTTTAAATTGGCTCACTACTTGAATAGCCTATTGGTCTCAAGCAAATCGATTAACGTATTCCATTCTATTTAAAATTCTAGTAATACACTATGTTTGCTTTGATTCGCTATGAAAGTTTGACAGATAAAATGAGGGGTTCGTGGATTTTCCTATGTTTCGAGGGGTGAATCGATTAGCTTGGGACCGAAGATAGTACCAGAGCTGAGCCAAAAAGTTGAGCTCGTTTCTTTGGGACCTTCTAGTCTTAGAGTTACCTCTATGATATTATTCAACATCGAAACAAAGGGAACACCAGCGCTATTCTTCCTCTATAGTATATAAGCTCTATTCTGCTGCTCCATCCAGCTTGCCTTGCTCGGTAATGGCGGCCTGTTTGTATGAATAAATTGTATCATTCATCATGTAACATTAAATGCGGCAAAGTGGCAACCAATCTAATGCCCTCAAAACCATTCTTAATTCCTGAATTGATCAATTAAAAATTGATGTATTATATTTTCGAATTGACGAGTATAATTTTCGTGAATCATGCTTTACTATAACGTAATTTAGAACATTTACTCTATTTTCCGCAACGTGGCGCGAGATGTACCAAGCATAATCGTAGAGGAAAAGGAGGAGCTGTCAAATTAGCACCAGAGCACCAGACTTCACTCGAGTTGTTTTTTAATTTGAACCCCGCCAATCTGCACGCCGCGCAAACTAAAAATTGCTTAAACGCAGGCCAGTGAAGGCCCAAACGCAATGTGGACGGAAGCGGAACGGAAACGGAAAGTTTGACAGTTGTCACAAATGACACCAAGAAGCCTAACCGATGTCGATTTGCTTCTAACTAGTTTTCAATCCGACAAGTACGCTTACTCAGATCGGGCTTTTCCGCTGCCGCTGCCGTTCCGCTTCCGCTGTCATTGCGCTTCGGCCTTGACAAGGCCTATACCATAGAGGTAACTCTAAGACTAGAAGGTACTGAAATAACGTTCTCAAATTTTTGGCTCAGCTCTGGTACTCTCTTCGGTCCCAAGCTAATCGATTCACCCCTCGAAACATAGGAAAATCCACTAACCCCTCATTTTATCTGTCAAACTTTCATAGCGAATCAAAACAAACATTGTGTAGTAGTAGAATTTCGACTAGAATGGGATACGTTAATCGTTTGCTTGGGACCAATAGGCTAGTCAAGTAGTGAGCCAATTTAAAATCGTTAGTTTCGTATTGACTGTTGCCTATACCAACAGCAGCGTTTGACAGTAGGCAGCATGTCCCGGGCTCAAAACTTTAATTTTGCTGTGCTGGGCCCGCTGTCATGGTATAACATGTTGCCTACGCGCCTGCCACTGGGCTGCTTGAACGTCATCTAGCAAATGGAACAGAGAAAAGCGAAATGGAACGTTGCGAAACGGAACGCAGCATCAAAACAAAACATCAAAAATCAAGGTGAACATTGCATTTGGTCCTAAGTAACATTGATAGATTCTCTTCGTCGACTTTCTCTTTCGTTCATAACTTGAGCCAGTGCTGATAAAAATCATTTCTTCTACACTCAAATACGCTGAAAATGAAGGCAACCTTGAAAGATAAACCGACTACCTGCATGAATTTGAATTTTTACATGATAACATGCTCTTGATCAAGGCAACCGCTGAGTTTCGAAGTCAACAATTGTTTTTGTTCATTCAAAGATGCGTATTCATTATCGCCTGTTCTGCTGTCATATCAATATTCATAATCATCTTGGTGGAGATGATTTTGAGTATCAAATGCGAAATGATTATTTTCGTTTTGCACACATATACCGTTGTGGAACGTGTTATGTTGCTTTTTTCACTCAGATCGATGGAAGATTATTGCCTTTTGCAGAATTGATGATAATATCGAGGTTTTAGGCTCTGCAATCGATCGTATTCAAAATAATCATTTACGGCAAAATGAATTTGATTTTTTTGCTTTTGAGGATCGCTTTCGATTTTGACAGTTTTGGGTTGGATACTCAACAAACGCGTATTCGTAGATGGATAATGATCTCATTTGTTCATTTCACTCATACGTTGACAGCGAAGCTTTTAAAAACAACCGCAATTTATCTACACTGCGATAGTCAGTGCGTGTGAGGGTAAATGAGAAAAAAACAGACACTGACTTGAGCACATAACCGTTTCTTGTTGTGTTTGTCGTATTACATGCTAGATAAAAGCTTCTTTTATCGATATGTGTGCTGAAAATACTTGGGAATGTCTTAACATGGCCGTGGGGATACAAAGAAAAAGTCGACAAAGAGAATCTGTCAATGTTACTTAGTACCTAATGCAATGTTCAGCTTGAAATAATGTTTAGAGAAACTCACTTTTCTTATGGTCGTAGGGTTACTAGAAGGTCAAATTAAAAATGAACCCCGTTAATATGCACGCACTGTCGGTACTACAGTGATATCCGGGAAAATCCAAAAACTTCGGGAATGTTAAATACGCAGATCTTCACCGAAAAATACGTTTACTGTAAGATTGTCCCAATAAATTATTGGCATGCATGGATTTCTGAACGGAGCTTACCGGAATATCTGTGTTATTCCGGATATGACATAAAATTTTAAGACTTCCAGAACCCATTAATCACCACCACCTCAACCAAAACCAACCGGTTAAACAGATAATCGAAAGGTAAGGTGCAACATAAAACCAACGGCACAAAGGATCATGCAATTCTCGAGAGACCGAAACACATTCACTTCTTCTCCAGCACAATCAACTGATCAACAATCTCACAGGCAAACTCCTCCACCGGTTTGTCGATCGTGTCGTGATCGATCCAGGTTAGGCCCATTTCCACCTTCTCCGCCAGATCCTGCCAGTGCTGCCGATTGTCCATCGTTCCCTCGTAGAGCGGTCGTATCCATGGGAACGCATCCGACAGGACTTTGTACAGCGGCAGACAAATGACATCGATGAATCCAACCTGCATCTTGGGCAGCTCGTCTTTGCGTTCGCTGAAAGGGCATAAAAGGGAAAAGCGTATTAGATTGAATTGTTCCGACTTGCATTATGATCTGCTAACTGTCGTCGTGGAGTCTCTGATGGAGCATTGATTGACGTCGTATAGCTTCGATTTCCAATCAATAATGTTCGTATGACCAATGCGCTTCCACCCAGATAATAACACCCGTCATATAATACAATGCTTGAACTTGTCTGCACTGATGATGGTCACATTTATGCTGCCGGCACCATTGCTTTGACTTGGGCCGTAAAGCAGGACCAGCATCAGAAGATAAATTTTGATATCTTAATTAAACTTCATGTCCCTGGTGGCAATATCGGGACAGATAACGAACACATCTTGAGAAGTTTTGAGCGCTCCTAGCAAAGATGAGTGATGGCTGTAATTTTCTCCGGGCCAAGCGAATCATGTTGTCTCTCATTCTATGCCAATTATCTGCCGGTAGAATGATACTGAGTTGCCCTCTCATCTCGTGCGTCTTCGGACAAGGTTGATTAATGAAACGACAACGTTATCACATTTTCTGCCGTAATCTTAATTGCTGTCGGATTCAATTATGAGTCTAATTATCGCCTAAACAAGTGTTGTTGGGACATTTTTGAGCAATTCCTGTCAAAACTTTCGCAAACCTTGACCGCGCAGCAAATTGGTTCAATCTCGGTTGACGTCAATCGACTGTAGATTGCAATAAAAATTAGTTCCAAATTACCGATCCATCATCGCCACGGGCTGCTGATTGAGTTGCAGCTTTTCCAGATCGCCCTGGTCGAAAAATTCGTCCGCCACCAGTTTGGCCACCCGGTGTTGGACCTCCCATGGTTTGGCAATCGCACTCACGTCGCATGCCGTCATCATCATGCCGCAAAGTACTGAAATGGAAGAGAAGAAAAAAGTTAAGAAACACCCCCCCCCGACCAAGGACAAGGGTGAATTGAATTGTGTAACGCAAACTATTTCCGGCGGCATCAGCATGAGCATTACCTTCCTTCTTTTCCTCGCTCTGCCAGTCAAATTCGCCTCCCTCGACGAGCTCCAGGAATTGATTGCGCTTTTTGAAGTACATGGCCAGATCGGTGGACAGGATAGCCGACTCGACGACTTTCATGACCTTGCGGAAGTCGTCCGGAGAGAGGGCCTGGAAGGAGAGGGAGGGAAATTTACATGTTCAGTTATCTTAGATCATTGCGTGGAAAAAAAGACGTTATTTGTTGTGCATGCGCGTCTGGGTGTACCCGGAAGGCAAGGTATGGAAGGCCCAAAGTAGCTTGATAAGTGAAATTTGGTCACCCGTTCGTATATACGAGAATGATGTCTCCCTATTGTGGATCCAGCGACCCATTTCAAACACATACATTCTGAGGCCACTCTCACGCACAATAAGTCCCACATGAATACATTACCCTTATCAACTGGATAATGGCCCTATTGGGGTGATTCAAAATTTCTCCACCCCGTTCAATCGATTCTTAATCAGGCCCTGATCATTATCCTAAAATTTGAGCTCTTTGAATTTGCAGTCTCATACTGCACTTACCCTTTGAAGTTTATATGGAGATGTAAAATATCGTCCCAACCTTTTGACGTAGAACTACGTCTGTGATTTCTGTATCGGGGTACACTTTGTGAAAACCGAAAATGGAACATATAACAAAATTATGAAAGCTTTGAACGTTAATAACTCAGCTTCCCCTGGACCAATTTCTATAATTTTGTCACCAATCGATCAGATATATTCCTACGCATTTGTTAAAGTTAATTAAATAATATTTTTTCAAAATGTCACTGTTGAAAATTGCACGAATGTGCAAATGTTTCGTTGATAGTTAAAATTATCACCGATTGCCTGTGAAAAGCGATTTCCCTAGCACAGATTTCAAAGTTGAATTCTATCCGGTCTCACCAAACGGTGTTTATTCAATCACCGCGTGGTGAGTGGTGAGTGGTGGTGTTCTCCAGTACACAACGAAAGGCTCCCCGCACGCAGCTAGCTATCAAGGCTGGCCTCAACCGTTGATCGGATTCAGTTCCAATCACCGTGGGTGGTGGTGTCCGGTCGTCGGCTTCAGCTGCAGCAGCAGCAGTGCTTTCGGCGCGTGGCGTTGAACATTGTTCTCCAGTGCACAACGAAAGGCTGCCTGCAAGCAGCGAGCTGCAGCCCACATGGGCATCCATAGAAGGAGGAAGAAGCTGCACCGCTATTGATTGGGGCCATCTATGCCAAGCGCGTCACCCTCATTCCAAACAATATACAGCTCACCAGCCTTATTTGTGTTTAACACCCTAATAGCTCAGCATTACTCAACCATCACGACAAAACGGTCCATTTTAGGACCACCATAAATTTGTAAAAACATATTTCTGGACATTTGTCATCGGATGTCAGTTCCCATATCAAAATATAGCTTGAATTGGGCCTTACAGCTTTTGTAAACAATGATGTCTTAAAAGTCAAGGCACGCCCACGCAAATCAACATCACCATCAGGTAGGCTAAGACTTTCCCTACCCGACGGTAACGTTAGTTTGCGTGGGCGTGCCTTGAATTCCTAAAAATCATCGAGAGAAGTCATTGTTTACAAAAGCTGTTACGCCTAATTTCAGCTCTATCTAGATATGTTTAAATCTAACAGACCATGTACTTTTAGGCAACATTGGGGGTTCGATTTCAAAAACCAAAGTCGGTTGCGGCATGAAAGTGGTCTGATTTTGATCCAGAGATGATGGATTTTAATTCTTAGTACGCCAATCGATAGGAATTTTGTCTACGAATCTGTTAAAATCATCATCATAACTGTTGCTTTGATAATTAAAATAATCGCCGATTGCCTACGAAAAGCGATTTCCCTAACACAGATTTCAAAGTTGAATTCCATCTGGTCTCACCAAACGGTGTTTATTCAATCACCGCGTGGTGAGTGGTGAGTGGTGGTGTTCTCCAGTACACAACGAAAGGCTCCCCGCAAGCATCGAGCAGCAGCCCACATGAGCATCCATAAAGGGCGAACACGAAATTATTGCGACACCGAAAATGTCATGCCAATTTTCTTATAATGTTTAGAATCAAACCAAAATTTTAGGGTAGTTTTTTACATATATTTACTTCAAAAGAAAAAATAATCGATGGAGCCTTGAGTGTAAAATTGATGCCCTCCATCAAAGTCTTTACAGTGTCATCCGGTACCAGTTTCTCAGTTTTTTTTTTCCATTTTCTTAACATGTCCTTCTCGTCTTTGACTGTCTTCTTGCTCTTCCGAAGTTCCCGCTTCATTATTGCCCAGTACTGCTCCACCGGGCGCAGCTCCGGACAGTTTGGCGGATTCATGTCCTTTGGAACAAAATGGACAGAATTGGCCTCATACCACTCCAGGACACTTTTAGAATAGTGGCATGATGCCAAATCTGGCCAAAATAGCGGAGCTTCGTCGTGCTGCTGCAAGAACGGCAAAAGGCGCTTCTCGAGGCACTCAGATTTGTAGATCTCGCCATTTACTGTGCCCTTTGTCACGAAAGGCTTACTTCTCAGTCCGCAAGAGCAGATGGCCTGCTAAATGAGATATTTGGAGGCGAACTTCGACATTTCCTTCTTCTTAAATTTGCTGCCGCATCGAACTTGCTCTTGCCGGTAAAAAACTCCAACCCCGGAATTTGCTTAAAATCGGCTTTTATATACGTTTCGTCGTCCATCACACAGCAGCCATATTTTGTCAGCATCTTCTCGTAGATCTTCCGTGCCCGAGTTTTAGCCGTCGATTGTTGCCGCTCATCGCGGTTTGGGAAGTTCTGTACCTTGTATGTATGTAGTCCAGCTCTCTTCTTTGCATTCTGGACGTAGCTCTGCGACATGCCGATCTTTTTAGCCAAATCTCGGCTTGAGACGTTGGGATTTGCTTTAATCATCCGCTTCACCTTTCCCTCCGTCTTTTTGTTCTCCGGTCCCTGTTTTCTTCCAGCTCCTTTGCCGTGGTCCAACGTCAACCGCTCCTGGAACCGCTTCAACACTCTGGAGCCGGTTGAATGGTGAATGTTCAACAATTTTCCCAACTGTCGGTGCGACAGGTCAGGAAATTCCAGGTGTTTGGAAAGAATTTGTTATCTCAACTCGCGTTGGTTCACCTCCATTTTCGTTGAATCGAAAAACACGACTTCGAGTTTGACAGCATGTACACAATACACATCAATGAGAAAGTGTGCAAAATTTGGTTGATTTTTACCCAATAGTAAAAAAAGTTATGCCCTGTTGAATGTGTCGCAATAATTTCGTGTTCGCCCTTTAGGAGGAAGAAAGCACACCGCTATTGATCGGAATCAGTAGCTCTTCGTGAGTCGCTGTGGGCCATCTATATCAAGCACGTCATACTAAACCGTATAAACAGAGATAACCCCGCTCAAATTCCTATTCCTACACAAAAAACAAGCTCCTGCTGCAGCTACCAAATAAGATTTATTATATAAGACCACGTAGTCCTACGTCACCATTGCGTACAACCCCAAAGGGCTGTCCATTGTAGTTTTTTTCGTGTAAGCTTGCTACAGTAATGACCCGATTTTGTCATCCCCCTTTTTGAAAATCTTTTCAAATATTGCGCTTTTTCAGTTGCTTTATTGAAGTATACAATCATTCATTTTAAAGATGGATGAGAAAGATTTGGGATTGCGGTTACGTAAAATTATTAAAAAATAAAAGTATAATGCCACTGTCGAGAGATCACGTTTTGCCAATCGTTGCTAAGGTTGACTTCTTTGTTTACTCCATTGGGCTTCACATTGGGTTCGGATTCCTAAGAAAAATGCTGTGAGTATTGCCTGTACCTGTCTGCACTAAGTATCTCATCCGATTCGTAGCAAAAATCCCAGCGGCTCGAGGTTTCGTTCAGAATAGCTTCACGCCAACAGAGTTCTTCCACACCATTGTCGGTCGAGAGGGTCGATACGACAGTTAAGATGGCCAAAATGGGTTTCCTCCAGCAACAGTTGGTCAAATGCCTATAAGATCGTCCAATACGACGGTACGGTACGGAATTGTGCCAGCAGCAGAGGATTTTTGTTTTGTTTTACAAAGTTGTTATGCGGAACGCATGATAAAGAAACAAAATCCACATCATAGGGGGTGTGTGAGTGATGGGTTTTGTATTTCGGCCAGTTTTGAATCCCGGTCTTGCCAAGGGTCTTCCGGGATGAAAATTTTATCGTTTTGTTCTATGTTTTTCGTTAGGTATGCTTGCCAGTCATTGGTTTCAATTGGTACGGACTTCGATGGGAAATCCACAGGATTTTATATGGATGTCCATACAAGTCCCAGTACTTATTGGGGGATGACGATACGTATTAACCCAAGGGGTAATCAACTCTGCACACTGTGCCGAAACACATCACAAACAAAATATAATATGCAACGGCATCACTGTTGTTTGCTATCGTTGCTCCAATAGTTGCTAAGGTTTCGCACTTTGCTGACAGTCGTCGATCTTCACTTCAGGATGAAATTGACACGTCCATCGGACTAGACGATCGGATTCCGGATTAGAAGACAAACATATACTTTGCTCGGATCTCTCCTGCAGCCAGTACTTCGTCCAATTCCCTGCAAGAGTTGTCAAAGTTTGAGCGATACATAAATACCAGCGCCAAGATCATCACCAGCAACAGCAATAACCAGGTCACTCTCAGGGTCATTCACTTTAGCAACGAACACTTGCTTGGCGTTTCCGGTATAGTTTCCAATATCGGTAACACGGTTCTTATGGGTCAATGCGACAGGGTGGCCAGATATATAGCGTCATACAAATCAGGCACCTTCCTCCCGGATGAGCGATCTACGGCACCACAAGTCAATCAAATTGTTTAAATAATCAGGATTATTTCAATACATATTATGATACTCAATTGTACATTCCTAGACAATTTATTATATAGGCTTTCTGTAAAACAAATTAAGTATATTTTGACAACCTGAACCCGATCCTTAAGCCCTTTAAACTTATCCCTTAGCATACAACAGAACCACATTCGGCACCTCAAAGTTGTTCACCTGAAGTAAATCGAACAATTTGTTTTGCAAAATCCCCACTAATCTTCAGAGATGAACTAGCCTAAGGCTAAAAATCTCTTTGATAAAGCCTTAAAAAAAAGAAACCCA